CATTCATGTTAATAATTATCATAAAACATACTCTTTAATAAAAATACATTTTTAATAAAGCAAAAAATTTATTTACAATTAAGACTTACATTTATTTTGTTCCTCAACGCTAGAAGACCCAATTTTTTTGTGAATTATATCTTCTTCATATTTGACATTAGTTCCACTACTCGAATCATCATTGCTGGTAATGCAAAGTTCTTTTTTTTTGCCTTTTTTATTGTCAAATTGAACGCTTTGCATGTTCTGACGCTACAAAGTAAAGCCTGAAAATCACCCGTCGAACTAGCATAAACAATATTTGATTTATGGCTGAAAATGATTGACATTATTACCCTCTTTTCGGGCAACAAACACAATCACTTGATCGATCAAATTAAATATAATTTGATTGGTTAATAAACTTAGTTAAACGCAATAATTATCTGGAACGTATACAGTCAGGAACGATGATACAAAACACTGCAAAAGTTTCTTAAAAAATAGAACCAAGCCATATACGTACGTACGTACGTACATACCATACGTTTCCGAAAATAAGCTACATCAAAAAATAAGCTTCCCCCTTTTGAACCAAAAACTCAAAAACGTCTTTAACCCGAGAATAAGTTACCCCCACGATCGATGACCGTTGCTATATAGTAAAGTCAAAATTTTATTAAGTAAATCGATCTTGGCCTATTACGGTAAGTAAAGTTGTTGGGAAGATCAAAATACATACATTATGAAAGTTTTATCCAAATTGGATAACTTTTTTAAATTGTGTTTAACGAAAAAATTAAAAAATTCTGTAAAATTCATATTCGTTAAACGTAAAAATCTGAAGTCAAATAATAAAAGTTAACCAATTTTACATAAAACTCTCAGAATATGTGTATTTTTGATCTTCTAGACAACATTACTTAATATCCAAGTCCGATTTACTTAATAAAATTTGGCGCAATTGATCCGAAAATAAGCTTAATTTCGGAAACACACGGTACGATTAATGAGCATGATTGCCGGGATTTCTCGGGACAGTGTTTTTTTTTACTGCATAACTGTGCAGATAAAATTTTTAATTATTGAAAACCGAAAATCTTTCATGTTTATTTATATAAGCAAAAAAAAAGGGAAAAGGGAAATCTATAGCTTTTATATCTTCCATTGGCGTCAGCCCTAAAAATTGATAAATAATTACGTACGTACATATATATGTACATGTTCTCAAAATTCATATGCAGTTAGCCGCTTTAGTCGTTTTGATTACACATGCTATTTTGGTTATAATCAAAAACTTGGATTAAAAAAGTCTTATTATCGTTATATATTACAAAATTATAGGATAGACGGTCTGATAAATATGAGAATCTATTAATTTACAAATTTCAAATTTTGGCTTCTTACTGCTTTTAAAATATTTTTGTGTCTATATATTAAAGAACCAACACTTACTGGTATAGCTCTTAGAGAATAGTCAGTTGACTGCCCCAGACTATATAAAAAATTGTATACTTTATAAAAAAATTGTACTTTTTAAAAATATTAATTTTATATATCAAAATAATATAATTTAAAATAAAATTCAAATAATAGCATTATTTAAAATATGTATACAACTAATATTAATTTTAAAAAAATAAAGCTCAAGCTAAAAAATATTATCAAAAATAGTATAGATAATAATAATAGTATTTTATTAATTATACTAGCAAATATATATATAAGCTATTACTATTTAAATCAACAAACTTTTTCTAATAATCTCTTGATCAACAATAATTAAAACTAAACTACAGTAAAATATTATAAAAATATTTAAGACAAATACTATTTCTAGTTCTAACTTAAGTTAACAAAGTTTAAAAGATATAAAATATTGAGAAGTAAGTATAATTTAGTTAGTTTTTCTTAAGGTCAAGCTTTTTTAAATTCAGCAAACTTTTCAGAATATTTGGTATCTAAACCAAAAAATTTATTCTAAAAACAAGTTTATCTCGAATAGGTTATTATTAACAAAGTCTAAAGATATAAAATACTAAAAAGCAGATATAACTTAGATAGTTTTGTTTAGAGTCAAGCTTTTCTGATTTTAGTAAACTTTTTAAGATATTGTAATACCTCAAAATTTCGTTGATTTTTAATATTATTCTCTTTTCTTTTCTTTTTCTATATTTTATTATACTTTTATCATATTTTATTATCATATTCTTATTATATATTATTATTATCATTAGTATTATCTTTATTTTCATTTATATTATATATA